AGAGCGGCGCCGTGTGGGGCCGGACCGTGGCTGTCACGGCAGAGCAGGAGAAAGGTGCTTTGAGGCACGTGAGCTCTGGGAAGGGAACTCGATCCCAGGATCCTATAAAGTATGTTTTTGCGGGCAGCTGGTGAAGTCTCCAGACGTGCAGCTCGTTTGAGGAGCCCCTTAGGAAAAGGTGACAGCCCTCGGAGTTCTGAGCCCCGGACCTGCCCGCAGCAACCTGCTGGCGGCCCGTCCCTAGCCTGCTCTGACTCGCCCCTGGGTGGCGATCCCTTTGCGCTCATGGGTAGCCTCTGGGAAGCGTGGCCTGAAGGCACTGCAGCTCAGACGGTGTAAACTGAGTGTCCATCTGCAGGACAGGCCCCCTGCTCGCAGTCGGCCCCTGAGGCGGCCCTGGCCACCTGGTTGCTGCCGTGCCTGGAGCCCTGGCGGGGACAGAGAGCATGGGGTACAGACCCCGTCTCCAGCTGGCAGCGGGCGCTCCACGTTCATTCCCACCTTGGGTTTCAGGCTGAGTGAGAAAGGACGCGGAATCCACACGTGGTGTGTGTGACCCGTGGGCCCCAGACAGGCTGCTCTCCCGCCGGCCCCATGGCCAGGCCGGCGCGCAAAAAACAGGCAGCCGGCAGCCTCTTCCCGGACTGCGTCTCCACCTGCCATGGCCGGCAACAGGGCGCAACCCGGGGCAGTGGCTCTAACAGAGCCCTTACCATTCTGATGCAGGTGACGGAAATGTCATGTCCTGGTCCCCAGTGTTCCCCAGCGTGTGACAGACTGTGCCGGAGCCCTCGCTGGAGAAGGGCTTGCTTCAGCCTCGACATTGCTTCTCTGGCACCTCTCCGGGCAGGTTGTACCTTCTTCTTCAGGAGGAGACCGGGGCCCCGCCATGGCGTTCTGTTGACGCTGTGCGTGACAGCCACGGTCCGGCCCCGCACGGCGCCGCTCTTGGGGTTGCCGCCCGCGGACGCCCACCTTATTTGCTTCCAGTTAAGCACTGGCTTTTCCCTGATAAGCAAAATAAATCCTTTTAGTTCAGTAAATCTGGAAAAAGAGAGGAAAATGTTTATTTTTTTAATACGTGTGGACGTGCCCCAGCTCCTTCAACTGCTTATGGACAGGCAGCGCCCTGCGTGTGCCTGAGAGCTGTGGGGGAGGGTGTTGTCCGACTACTTCCTGTTCCTCGGCCCCTCCTCGCTTGCTCACCAAATGGACGTGTTTTATAGCATGTATTTACACATATGTGAACTTTTAAAAATCCTTTTAAAAATAGTTATTTATTATTATTATTTGACCAGAGAGAGACAGACAGAGAAAGGGAATGTGAGAAAGCAAGCCTTCTCCAGGTCGGGACTCGAACCACTGGTCGCCATATGCATCTTAACCACCACGCCTCCTGCTGTCCCCCGTGTGTGAACTTTTTAAAGTGCAATGCTAATTGTATTTTGAGAATATTCTTCGTTTCTAATCAAGTCCTTAAGTTGAAGAAGAATTTATGTTCTGCAAAACCTTTTTACTCTAACCTGTTTAATAACAAACTTCTTAGGAAATTTAACCTCAGGTTGGATATTAGTCAAATGTTCGTGTTAACTGGGCTTTTGCTACCGGGCCCAGGCATTAGGTTTGTCTCATGCACCATCAGAATCATGTCTCAGCGCGGCGGATTCCTGATGACTGCCGTCCCACCTGTGTGAAGGAGCTTCGCCAGACTGGCAGGTTTCCAGGACGGAAGCTTCACGCGTGTGTGATTTAACCCGTGCTGTCTTCTAAACTCAGGTCACTCCTCTGGGCTGTTCTCCTACAGTAGAAAGGAGGTCTGTTTATCAGACTCGTCAAAAAGGTCACTGAGAAGCGTGAGCGAGCATCCAGGCTGCCGCGTGTTCACAGCAGGGCTGCGTGTTCTCAGTGGGGTGGGCGTCTCTGCTCCGTCTTAGGAAGGGTCCCTGCTGGGCTTCTGGGCTTTTCTGTTTCCTTTGTTTCAAGGCAGAGCAATGAGATTTTCCTTACAGAGGTATTTATTCTTTAAAGTGTTTTCATTTTTAATTAAGTTTATTTGATGCAAGCAGGTGGTCTGGTTTGGTTAAGGCTGCTGGTCTCTCACATGGCTGACTACGATTTGAGTCCTCGACCTGGTGGCTTGCTTTCTCACTTTCCCTCTCTTTCTGTGTGTGTGTGTGTGTGTGTGTGTGTGTGTCTCTGGTCAAATTAAAATGAATGAATGAATAATTAAATAATTATTTTTATAAAATATTATTTCATGCTTCTTGAAAGTGTTTTGGATGTTGTTTAAGTCCCGATTTTATTTGATTAATTAATACAAAAGCCCCATCAGCTTTTTGTTCGTTCGTTTTTAACGGAGTGTCATACAGTTACCAGGCAGTGGGGTGCCCCTGGCCTGATGACGCCCCCAGGAAACGCACTTTCCCCACAGGCGTGGGGCCACCGCTCCCAAAACTCCTTTTCTTGTTTGCCTCTTCTGTGAGCAGAGAACTGTGCCGAATACAGTTCTCTTTAACTGTCATTCTTTTTCCGTTACGGGCACCGAGTCACCATCAAGCTGGCGTTAGCAGAAGAGAGGCGCGCGCTTTGTGCAGGCTCACAGGCTCAGCTCAGTGCCCACCGGGAACGCGCAGTCTCAAAGGGAGCACCCCACAGGGGCCCCGAGGGCGAAGGTAAACCCGGGAGCCGAGCGGCACGCCCTGAGTGTCGTTTCCTGAGTGTGGTCGGTGTCACACCTGGTACCGTGCTCACCCTGGAACAGTGGGCTCTCACCGCAGTGCCTTCACCGAACCGCTTGGCAACGTTTTCTAACAGTCGCAGCTTGGGGATAAACGCGCTCACGTCAGTGCACGCTGGGGCTCTCGGCCTGAGAGTCCGTCCCCGCGTCCCCGCGGCTAACGAACGTCAGTGCTGCTCCCGCCTGCTGTCGGTCTGACTGTCTGTGTTCTCCACTTTACAGGCATGCAGTGTGGTGACTGTGTCCCTAGCCCAGCTGGGCCCGCACCCGCTCCCTTGTCATCAGCTTCCGATGACGAGGAGGAGGAGGAGGAGGATGAGGAAGCAGGTCTGCTTTAGCTCTTCTCTGGTTCTCCATCTCCCCAGCGCGTACCCTTTCCTTTCCGCTGCCCCGTGTGACCCTGGAAAGCATGCTTTGAGGGCTTAGCGCACTGAGGTGGCAGGAGGGCGGTCACTTGTAACGAGGTGTCCCCCCGGACAGCTGCACCATTCGTAAGTAGCAGCACAGAGCGTCCTCGTGATGGCCAACTGTTTCCTTCTAGAAACGCTTTTACTCCCGTGTCACGTGCTACAGGGCGAGTCTCAGCTGACGCTGTTGGCTGGTGACAGCTCGCGCCTTCCAGGAGTGCTGTCTGCCTCCCGCTTCGCACACTCAGGCCAATGGTCTGTTTATCAGACTCGTCAAAAAGGTCACTGAGAAGCGTGAGCGAGCATCCAGGCTGCCGCGTGTTCACAGCAGGGCTGCGTGTTCTCAGTGGGGTGGGCGTCTCTGCTCCGTCTTAGGAAGGGTCCCTGCTGGGCTTCTGGGCTTTTCTGTTTCCTTTGTTTCAAGGCAGAGCAATGAGATTTTCCTTACAGAGGTATTTATTCTTTAAAGTGTTTTCATTTTTAATTAAGTTTATTTGATGCAAGCAGGTGGTCTGGTTTGGTTAAGGCTGCTGGTCTCTCACATGGCTGACTACGATTTGAGTCCTCGACCTGGTGGCTTGCTTTCTCACTTTCCCTCTCTTTCTGTGTGTGTGTGTGTGTGTGTGTGTGTGTGTGTGTGTCTCTGGTGTCTCTGGTCAAATTAAGATGAATGAATGAATAATTAAATAATTATTTTTATAAAATATTATTTCATGCTTCTTGAAAGTGTTTTGGATGTTGTTTAAGTCCCAATTTTATTTGATTAATTAATACAAAAGCCCCATCAGCTTTTTGTTCGTTCGTTTTTAACGGAGTGTCATACAGTTACCAGTACCAGCCACTGGGCCTGCTGTCAGAACTTCGCCTGGCGTGTCTCATGGCGGGCCGCTCTTACGCATCTGCTTCAGACTCGCGTGTGGGCAGTGGGGTGACACTGGCCTGATGACGACCCCAGGAAACGCACTTTCCCCACAGGCGTGGGGCCACCGCTCCCAAAACTCCTTTTCTTGTTTGCCTCTTCTGTGAGCAGAGAACTGTGCCGAATACAGTTCTCTTTAACTGTCATTCTTTTTCCGTTACGGGCACCGAGTCACCATCAAGCTGGCGTTAGCAGAAGAGAGGCGCGCGCTTTGTGCAGGCTCACAGGCTCAGCTCAGTGCCCACCGGGAACGCGCAGTCTCAAAGGGAGCACCCCACAGGGGCCCCGAGGGCGAAGGTAAACCCGGGAGCCGAGCGGCACGCCCTGAGTGTCGTTTCCTGAGTGTGGTCGGTGTCACACCTGGTACCGTGCTCACCCTGGAACAGTGGGCTCTCACCGCAGTGCCTTCACCGAACCGCTTGGCAACGTTTTCTAACAGTCGCAGCTTGGGGATAAACGCGCTCACGTCAGTGCACGCTGGGGCTCTCGGCCTGAGAGTCCGTCCCCGCGTCCCCGCGGCTAACGAACGTCAGTGCTGCTCCCGCCTGCTGTCGGTCTGACTGTCTGTGTTCTCCACTTTACAGGCATGCAGTGTGGTGACTGTGTCCCTAGCCCAGCTGGGCCCGCACCCGCTCCCTTGTCATCAGCTTCCGATGACGAGGAGGAGGAGGAGGAGGATGAGGAAGCAGGTCTGCTTTAGCTCTTCTCTGGTTCTCCATCTCCCCAGCGCGTACCCTTTCCTTTCCGCTGCCCCGTGTGACCCTGGAAAGCATGCTTTGAGGGCTTAGCGCACTGAGGTGGCAGGAGGGCGGTCACTTGTAACGAGGTGTCCCCCCGGACAGCTGCACCATTCGTAAGTAGCAGCACAGAGCGTCCTCGTGATGGCCAACTGTTTCCTTCTAGAAACGCTTTTACTCCCGTGTCACGTGCTACAGGGCGAGTCTCAGCTGACGCTGTTGGCTGGTGACAGCTCGCGCCTTCCAGGAGTGCTGTCTGCCTCCCGCTTCGCACACTCAGGCCAATCCAGACAGCCCGCGCTCGTCGGCACAGGAAGCCGGGCCTCCTTAGTGAGTGCTTGCTTCTGCTTCGTGGACAGAGTCCCGGCCTCACTGGTTGACGAAGTCATGTGTGTGGCCACATGTCACAGGCTGGCCAGTCCCCGTCCGCCCTTGGTAGGCAGGAGGCTGCTGACAACCACGCGGTCCAGCTTCCCCGCCTGTCCTGAGAGGTTAAGACTGAGCCCGTGAGCGAGGCCCTGCGGGGCCGTGTACGCGACCCCGGCTCTCACACCGTCTTTGTTATTGGCCGGGCAGCTCTGCCCTACGAGCCGTCGGTGTAGTCAGAAGTGTCCATTACCTGTGCACTTAGAACGCTCGGATCTCGCGCGTGACTTCAGGGGGGAGCAATAGAGGCAAGTATGTAAATACCCATCGGAATATTTTTGTCCTTTTAAATTTTAACGTAATTTCAAACGTACAGAAGCACTCATGGCATTTAACGCAGATCAAACCACTTTTGCCCGTTGGTTTTACTCGGAGGCCCCTCAGCCTAGGACGGAGTAGTATCTGGAGTAGACACTGGCCTGCCCCACCACCCCTCAGCCAGTCTGCCTCCGTGTGCTCAGGCCGGCTCTGGTTCTACGGCAACGCACCGCCACACCATCCCGGGTACACGTGGAAGGCCCTGGTGTGGTTCCCATTCCCTGTCGGTGCGGTGCCCATGTGCCATGGTCTCGGCTGGCTGTGTGAAGGAGCCCAGCAGGACACCCTGTTAGGGTGCTTGTCTGTTTCTCTCCACTCTCACAAAATAAATAGATAACGCTTACCA